CAGATCCTCTTCAAGTTTTGTTCGTGCTTCTTGCGTTCTTTGATTAAGCTTCTGGATTTGAACATCTTTATTTCTGCATCTATGCATCCAATTGCTAGCCACCTCCTGCTCTACCTCAAGTCTGGTGTTAAAATTTTTCCTTTCCAGCTCCCATTTTTCTTTTTCAACATTGGATTCTTCCATCTTTTGGCCTCTGACTTCAAGTTCAGCAATCAACTGGTTCATCTCAGATTCAAATCCCTTGAACATGCTATTTTTCTCGCCTTCAAATTTAACAAAGATGTCATTCTTCATCTCTTCTAAATCTTTGGCTCGATCTCTTTCTCTTTGCATTTCATTCATGATCTCACGGTGTTCAGCCTTGTGTTTTATAATTCGCTCTCTTCTGTCGACCTCGAAATCTTCCATTTTTTGCTTTCCTTTTTCCAGGCTTTTGAGTAGACGGCTATTCTTTCCTTTCAGATCTTCAACTCGTCTTTTCTCAATGTTCAATTCTCTGGTCATCTGTACCGTCAATTGGCTGGGTCCTGATGCTTTTCGGGATTTATATAACTCTTGGTAATCTTTCTGTAAGGCTCTGTACTCATCCTCACCTTTTTCTTTATCTTTTCTCAACATTGCACATTGTGATGAATGAAAGTCAATGTCAACCCCCAACATAGCTTTATCTTGTCTCATTTGATCTAACTCTTTCGACCAACCTTCTCTTTCTGCTTCAAACTCAGCTCTCAGGATTTCAATCTCTGATGGAACCACCTTAATGTGATCTTCCATAGGAATATCCTCATTTTGATCTGGTAGAGGAATATTTTCGTTTTTTCTGACAGATCTCCATTCTTCATAATCAGGAGTTAGCATTTCCTTTGCTGCTTTAGCTCGAATACAAAAAGTTGTTTTCCAAGCTGTAACGGCTTCCATGATGCTTCTTTTATAATTTTTGCTGTGGAATGCGAACTCAGATGACTGTAATCCAACAGTGACAGGTACAAATTGACGACCTTCATATTGTCTTATAACCAGCAGTGGTGCATATCCAATTCCTCCCCATAATCCGAGCAGCATTACCCAGTTGTAATCACCACACCTGTAAAGGAACTCCCTTTGTATTTGCCACGGGGCGCGCCAAACAATATCATTGCTTTGCAGATTTCGAAAGGCATTAATCCACATATCTTTCTTAATTTCTTTCGGCCATTCTTGCTCCAGAAATTCCTTTAATGGTGAATAATCCGTATTGAAGCGTCGGTATGAAACCTTTTCCGTTCTCCAGAAATGACTACGGATCCAAACATATAACAACTGAGTACACCCTGAGAATCGTCCACCTCCTAACCTTCTGCAAGCATTTAATGATCTGAAGGTCTCTGCTAGGATGGCAGAAACAGGATTAATCTTCTTTGGTAGTTGTTCAAACAAGTCTACTACTGCAGCTTCAATATATCCCAATACTTTTGGGAAGATGACCATACCATATATACCCAGAGCAAATAGATCGAATCGTACTTTAACGTCTGGATGACTCTGAATAAGCTCTCTGATGTTGGTCCAAGCAATGCCTTCGCTTTCGCCTTTTTGTTTTGTACGGGATGCTACCCATTCTTCTCGTACCCCAGCAATCTTTGCTAATTTAACTCGAAAGGGCTGAGTTTTAATTGACTTTGAATATATTCGACTCTCCAAAGCACCTTCAAGATGTAACAAAGTTGTATATTCTTCAATAGTAGGGACCAAGTCCTCCTTATTGAAAGTGAAGCAATTGTACCCTGGATTCCAGAATTGAACTAGGGCTCTGAGTAATTCATCATCAACTTCAACATAGAGCAAATATGGGATGTCTCCATAAGTCTGATAAAACTGCAATTTTTTGTTTGAATCCCAACTTTCCCAAATACCTCGCAAATCTTGCAGATCATTTCTTTTTAGTGAAACTGAAGCATAACTGGCCAAGTCAGATACATAATCATCCTGCAGACTGTCTCCTTCTTGTCTTTGTAAATCTTCAGCCCACTGTCTTACTTCTGAGTTTAGAATTACTTGACTTGAACACTTTTTATCCATAGATGAAGGCTTTCCAATGAGACAATTAACACAAGGATCAATGTCTTTTATCCTGTATGATGCAATGCAAACAGAAAAATAAAGAACACACAAAAAAGAAAATAAATTAGTTTACATAAAAAATTCAATAATAACATTTATTTAATTTAAACATGCTTTTCTAAATAATTTAAATAAACATGTAATTTAAACAATAAATAAATTAACAGGAAAGACATAATTCATTTCTCCTGTGTGTACACCTATTTTGGACAAAATTTCGGCATGACTTCGGATTGGAAGAGTTTCTAAGGTTTTTTATATGCAGGGTTTCAGATCTAGGAGTAAAGGTACCCGAATTGTCCTTGTTAGTGCCCCCTTGGGTTGCTAACCCTCAATCCTAGTCCATTACAGACTAAAGTGGATTGAGTTCAATTCGAGGGGATACATTTCTCTATGCCTGACACGGAGAATAAATTCTCACGAAGACATAGAGCATATGAACCCCGAAAGTTACTTGCTAGGTCTGACACGGAGAATAAATTCTCACGAAGACGTCGCTTTCACTCCCACTTAAAAGGGACAACTCAATTATAGAGCTTTATGTTATGCAATGTAAGTGTTGTGTGTGAGGAGAAATGTTCAAACCTTTGACAGAAAAAATAAATACTGAAATAAAATACTTGCAAATAAAAATAAAACAGATAAATATTATGAAAATAATAAGTAAATATAAAAATTTTGAAAAGATAAAATTAGAAATTAAATATATGAATTTTTAATTTTTATTTTATAGAGACAATTCATAATTGATTTTTAAAAGTTTGACCAGTCCCCAGCAGAGTCGCCAAGCTGTCGTAACCGGTTTTCGTCCGGGCACGAAATATTATAATTTGGCGGGGAAATTGATGTTAATAAATAATTTTGAAAATAATTTGTGAGTCGCCATCGACCTTTTGAATCAGGTAGGTCGAATACCTAAAAATTTTCTTTTAAAATAGTTTTTAAGAAAACCATATTTAAAAGATGAACTGATCTGCGTTTTATAACCAAAAATGCGTTCTTTTTAATAATAAAAAGGGATTCGTGGTCGGTTACGTTTAGGGAAGGATTAGCACCCCTACAACGCCCAAAATTGGTACTTTTTAATTATAAATTGTCTCTATTATTAAAATTTAAAATTCAGAAATATATTTAATTTATAATTCTATTATTTCAAAATTATATATAAAAAAAATTTATTTATTTAAAAATATCCGAAAAGAACTTCTAGGTGCCTTAAGACAGCTCTTTTCTTTGATATTGATAAATATTAATTTAAATAATATTGTTTATCAGAATAGGACATCCAGTTGTATTAAGACTGTCCTTTTCTTCGATATTAAAAATAAATATTTAAAAAATACTATTTATTATGTGTATATATAAAAATATTTAACAGTATAATAAAATAAAAATATCACTAAAATAATATATTTTAAGCAATAAAATGAAAACATGTAAAATAAATAACTAAATTATGAATAAAATAAAATTAAATCTAATTCCTAATTAATTGAAATTATAGGGATTAAATATTTTATTTTCTAATTTTAATAACTTAGTGACTAAAATGAATTATTTAAAATTCAAATTTTATAATAAAATTAATTAAAAATATGAACTAGGGATGAAAACTTTATTTATTAAAATTAAGGGATTAAATCTGTCATTTATCCTAAATATATTATTTTAATTAAAAAGACTAAAATGAATAAAATTAAAATTCAAAGACCGAATTAAAATTCTTATAAATTCAGTTTAGTGACCAAAATGTAAAGTTTACAAATATGAAGGGCTGCGGAAGGGATTTAACTATTTTGTAATTACGCGCATAGTCCTTCCCGAAACGACGTCGTTCGGGAAGGACTATATAAGTCCCAAACCGGCTGGCCCTTCGGGCCAGCCATTTCATTTTCTTTTTTTTTTCTTCTTTCTTAAACCGAGAGAGAGAGAGAGAGCCAGAATTCTCTCTGGCCTCTCTCTAGATTCCCTCACCGGAGGGAGTCCGGCGGCCGTCTGCCGCCGTGAGTTCTGCCGCCAGCCACCGCCGCCGGCCACCGTCTTCGGTGGTCGGAAAAATTTTTTTACACCTAAATGTAGATCGGACCGTCCTAATGACGGTCCCGATACTTTTTCCGTTAAACTGCTCCAAATCGGAGCAAATCTAAAATAATACCTTCGATGTTTCGAAGGTTCTGACGAGATCCGGTGGTCGACGCTTCCTCGGTAAGTCTCTTCTTCCTTTTTCTTTCTTTTTTCTTCTGGTTCTTTGCTGCTGAGATCGTTGGTATAGTTTGTTTTTTCCTTTTCTCTGTTTTTTTTTTCGGTTCTGTTTCTGTCTCTGTCTCTCCTTCTTTTTTTTCAGGTGGGTGGTGGCTTTTATAGCCACCACCGGTGCGGTCATCGGACCGGGTAATAGACTACCCTTCGGTGAGTCACCGGACTACCAGTGGTGACTCACTGCTAGGGTAGCAACGTGGGTGGCCATCTGGGTCTTCTGAAGGCTTCGATGGAGGCGTGGCAGCGGCGGAGGCGGCGAGGGCTGTCGGTAGCCGCGTGGAAGCTGGAGCGGCGCCGCGTGGCCCTAGGGTATCAAACCCTAGGGTTCCTCTCTGGAGCCATGTGGACCGTTGGATCGTGCCAGATCCAACGGCTGTGATGAGGCGGCTGATTAATTAGGGTTAGGAAACCCTAACTGGAAACCTAAACATTTAGGGTTTCTAGTTAGTTTTGGACCGGTTTCAGTTGGTTTGTAACTGGACCGGTCCAGTTGTAATTGGGCCTGTAAATATTATTATGTATTTAATATATTTAATATAAATTAATAATAATAATAATGATAATAATAATAATAATAATAATAATAATAATAATATTAATAATAATAATAATATGGATAAAAAATTTAATATCTTCACTAGGCAACTATCTTATAGCCTATTTGTTGCCCTGCTCATTGCAAAATGCCCAGGCATCTGTCACTGGAGAGAGGGAATAGAACAAAGTTACTTTATATTATAGAAAAAATGGAATTTCTTGGCTAAGTCCTTACTAATATGCCTGAGGCTACGAAATATCATTGTATAGCATGAGTTATACGGTCTCCTGAAGGTGGAGATGCACACCCTTCTCTGCTAATGTTTTGCTTACTTCGTAAAACTGGTTTTGACAGTGGAGAGGCAATTCCAGTAACCAGTGAGATGGAGGATATTACCAAGGGCAAGGGTATAATGGTTATGGTTACGGCTATGGTATGCCGTCAAATCAGGATCCGAGCACGTATACTACTGCAGCTGCTATTCCTGGTGCATCTTGACAGGGGGCATAACAGATGGATCAAAGGATGTATGACAATTACCGGTGGCTATGTAATATGAACTATCAGGTGAAGTTTATTTTCCATCAGATTTATAATTTAAGCAGGATGGGGTTTTGCTTGCTGCTTTAACGGGTTAAAGAATTTTGTTCCTGGATTTTATATTTTTAAACCTTGGGGTTGTTTTAGAACCGTATTGATATGCCATTTATAACTTCAAATTTTGTTGTGTTCTTTACTTCTTTCTTTTGGGTGTGCTTGGGAAGCCTTAATTTTTATTTTCATGTTATTTTATTTGTTAAAAAATTCACAAACAATGAAAGAGGCTGAGCTTAATCATTGATTCTTTATATGTTTGAGCAAATCAAAAGATTGGGTTTATGTTGTTTTGTGAGTATTCTACTTTCTGTTGCTATCTCAATTACTTGTTTAGCCTTTTTATTAAAAAAAATCCAATTACAGTAGTACATATAGAGTTGAGAAATAAGAAATATTTACTAAAATAAATTAAGGAGTTAATTTTAATCGTATATTTTTACTCATTTAATGATCATAAATCTACGTGGAATTAAAATATTGCACCGTCTAAGTCATCATAATCCTAAAAAGATTACGCATTATTTAAATTAATTAACAATATTATGAGAACTGAACCTTTTTTTCTCCATTTCATCGTATTTTCAGAATAATCTTTCTTTTTTCAACCAAAAGAATCTCAACTTGTTCACACTGCTTTCGGTAAATCCGTTGTCGTTCAACGTTGTTTTCAGTGAAGAAAGCTGTCAAATTGAACTTCTCTTTCTAAAAATTTAACATTTCACACCATTAACGGAACATCTTGTAGTAGGGCCCAAAGTTTTATGCTCCTCCTTCCCTCAAATCCTTCGAGCTTCTCCAATAAGTCAAACTAGGTTAGCAGATACTCCTCTCTACAACTCCAGACCTTGTTTAACTCATCCAACCTAGAAAATTGAAGCACGGACAATAACCCATACCAGATGCTAACTGTAACGTTAATGCCAGCCAACTTAAGTGCCTCCTGGACTACTTCCTGGTTATACATTCCTTTGGCCTGACCAACGAGACTGAATCTTCTCCATTCGCAATCAGCCTTTGATACAACAATGTCATTTTCACCCACCTCGTCTTCGCCATTAGTTTCTTCATCTTGGTTTCGATCAACAAACCTAACTACAATGGGTGCCATAGTGTTTCCGATAATGGAACAGTCCCCAGGCATCAACTCCGGACCGCTCTTCCTAGTCAAAACTTCCTTGAATGATCTTACATCCCTCATCGATGAGACCCTCCTCCATTCCTTACGAACAGTCTCCCTAGTCTTTGTATTATTTTCCGTAGATGCAAGGAATACCTTGATAGCTAGTCCATCAATTAGCATTCCATCACCTTTTTGAACAGCAACCTTAGCTTCTCCCACCGTATTGAATCTGATAAACGCAAACGTCGACTTTTTAATCTCTCTCTTTTGGTTCCAGTAGGCTATATAGACATCCTGCACGGCGCCATAACGCTGAAAAGCTTCTCTCAAGGTTCGTTGGTGAACTCTCTTGCTGACGTTATCCACAAAGACGGACACTCCGGACCGACGGCGATCACTTGGCCTCCTTGCAACCGGGCTTCTTCTCCACGACGAAAATGCTCCCGACCTTTGGACTCCCCGCATGGTTAAACACATTACAATTGTTTATACTACTGATATCTAATTTATTAATAAATTAATTTAGATAAAAAATTATAGATATTCAAAGCAAAATACTTATCTCAATTTAAATTATTCCATTATAATATCATGAATTATTAAATCTAACATGTCATCTCATATAAATTTTCTCAACCTTTTTAATTAATTTTTTTTAACGAATACTAATACATCATCAATTATCATGTATATTATATTTATATAAACAAAAAAATAATGTCAACATCTCAAAGATTGCATTATCTTGAACTTAAAATATTCTTAAATTTAGTCAAAACTAAAAAGATGGAAAATTAAGCATAGGGTATGCAATGACTGATTTTTTTAATAATACAAGATAATCATAATATAATATTTGTTTAGAATCTTTTTTAATTATTGACAGCATATATTTTGTGCAGTTATATAAAGATAATTACTTAAATCTAAATATTTTAAAATAAAAACATTACTTTTAACAACTGAAATCACTTAATCGATTCGATTACAAATAAAATCAGCTAACTTAACACATGTAACACTATAGGTAGACTTATACAGGCGGCTCTCTCGTGAACCATAACCAAATTTCCCATTAAACAATTTCCCAAAATTTTACACCCTCTTCTTCCTCCTCTCACCTTCCCCCATATTTCTTCCTTATAAAACCCTCCATTTCTACCTTTAACGTGGCTTTTAGGGTTCAGTTCCCAATCTTCAAGAATCCATGGAAGTGGTGGTGCGGGTGCCGGTGGACTTCAATTTCGACAGCGCGTGTTCGTCTCCCTACATCACTGCTCCTTCCAGTCCTCAACGCTTTGGCAGGAGCTTCTTCTTCAGTGCTCCCACCAGTCCCACTCGTGCTTCAGCAGCGGTTCCTTTTCAATGGGAGGAAAAGCCTGGTATCCCTAAAACAAAAGGTTTCCATGGCAGACGAGACGAAGAAGACGATGAAAATTTCGAGTTCGACTTTAGTGGGCAGTTAGAGAGTACTTCTTTGTCAGCCGAGGAGCTCTTCGAAGGTGGAAAGGTTCGGCCTTTGAACCACTTCGATCCATTCGAAACAGCCATCGACAAGTCTCGTAAAGGATCGGTACGGCCAGTAGAGCCGAAACAGCAAGGAAGGGATCGATCCACCGCTTGTTCTTCATCATCATCTTCAAGCTCCAACAAGTACAACTACGTTCACAAGAAAAGCAGGTCATTTTCTCCTTTTAGAATATCCCATGACGCCACGTTCGAGCAGGAGACAATAAGCAATCCCAAATCCTATGTTTCTTCAATCCTGTCGTCTATTTCGTTCTCGAAAGGCAACTGGAAGTGGAGGTTGAAAGATCTGTTGTTGCTCAGGAGTGCATTGGAAGGGAGAGCAACGAGTAATGGTTCTTTCAGAAAATATGATGTTTTGTCTAAGAAAGACGCCGAGGATGTAAACAATTTAAGCTTCCGGTCGATGGAGAGTGTCGGGTCGAGTTCGAGACGGAGGGGGCGGGTTTCAGCTCACGAATTGCATTACACGGCGAACCGGGCCATGTCGGAGGAGATGAGGAGGAAGACATTTTTGCCATACAGGCAGGGCCTTCTCGGATGCTTGGGATTCAACCCACGAATACATGAGTTTTCCAGGGGTATTGTATCTTTGAAACGTGGATGATCAACATCTTCATAGGGATGACTAACCAAATTGAGAAAAGTGAAAAATCCATTCGAACTGAGCCATGTAATTTAGTTTAGTTCATTTTTCATTTTACTTTTTAGTTTCAGTTCTATTCAAAAATATAATTGTACAATTCGGTTTAACTTGGATCTGTTTATATGAATACGGTTTGTTCCAAATCAAATCGAATTAGAAAAAGGAAATAAAATAATAATTCAAAACAATTTTCTTTTTGAATTTATTATAAGATAAACTTAAATAAATAAAATCTTAAAATTAATAATATTTTTTTATTAATTTAAATTTGTATATTTGACTCAATTTAAGCTCTAAATTTTCTTTGGACGTTGATTTTGAAAATTAGGAAACAATAAAAAATCGTAAAATTAAATCAAATCAAACCGAACCAAAAGCCATTATTTTTTTGCTATCCGATTCAGTTTCAATTTTTAAAAACACGGAAAGTACAATTCGATTCACATTTTATTTAGAAAATCAAACCGAATTAAACCGAATGCACCTCTAATTGATACAATGACTTTTTTTTAATGATATCCGATTTTTTTAACAAACTATATATATTTTCTCTAAAATATAATTGCATCTTAAAAATATAATTACTTAAATTTAATATCTCTAAAATAATAATATTCTTTATTACTATAGAAATAACTCATTAAAAAATTTTATAGACTTGTGTAAAAATCTTAGCAAGGATGAAATGTGTTACCAGTTACTACAAAGCATGGACATGGGAAGGGAAAAGCCTCTTCCAGTTACCAAAAATATCTTATAATATACGATTTTAATCAACTTTTTTTGGATTTGCCAAAATAACCAATGAAATCGCAATGCGATCGATAATTCGCAACGCGATCTCCGGTATCGCAAATCAATTTCCAGATTCGCAACGCGATTTTACGTAAATCGCAATGCGAATACGTAAATCGCAATGTGAATCTGACTATCGCAATGCGATTTACATAGCGCCATTCGTATTAACGCGTATTTTTTTTTTCAAATTCCAAACACGAATATATTAATATATCATAACACTGAACCGTCCACAGTATATCCCGTAATCGCAACTCATAACCTAAAACCCTAAATCACAACTCATTCTCATCTCCATCTCTCACTCTCTAAGGCGACATCCGTCCCCATCTCCGACGAAATCAGTCCCCACGACGATAACAGTCTCCATCTCCGGCGAAATCATTCACGGTCAGAAATGGAAAATCAACCAAATCAACCACCGATGGTTAGTTTTTTTAATTATTTTTATTTTGAAATGTTTGCATTATTATTAGGTTTTTCATATTGAAATTGAGGATAAGTTTACTGGTATTTTCAATAATAGATTAACCATTTCACTTAGATTGCTTATTATATTCATTCGATTGCTGCCAATACTGCTAAACTGTTTAGTCTTTAACCCTGTGAAGTTAGTATTTGTCTTTGTTTTGTCTTTTGGTTGAAGTAATGCAATCCATTCAAGTTTCTTTCAATTTTAGTATTTGAAACAGAGAATGACTATCGCAACGAGTGAATCGCAACGCGAAAATGACTATCGCAATGCAAATTTGACTATCGCAACGAGAGAATCGCAATGTGATTTTCATTTCGCATTGCGATTCTTGCGTTACGATAGTCAAATTCGCGTTGCGATAGTCATTTTCGTGTTGCGATTTTCATTTTCGTGTTGCGATTTAAAGTTTCAGAAACTATTCTTCTTTTGTAAATTGAAACTTGAATGAATTGCATTACTTCAACCAAAAAACAAATATTAAATTCACAGTGTTACAAATTTAAGTTTGAAGAATAAACTACTACTCTTTATGTTTATTGTTCATATCTTCATAGTGTAGTTTTTGATATATCTAAATTGGTATGTTTATTGTTTTTGCATAACTTTTATTCGGCTCAATTGACCTTAAGAAATAAAGTAAGCCTGGCCAAAACAATTGCGTCGAAGCTTTCACCTGCACAAAGAAAAATATTTGAGGATACTTGCTTCGGGCTATGGCTGAAAGTACAACATCCGGGTGGAGATGCTATGTTGACCCATCTGTTTCTTCAAACCATGACTAGCGATCTACCAGAGACTATACAACGTCGTGATGAAGAGATATGGTTTGATTTTCCACCGGCTTATACGTGTTTTGGGCGGGAGGAGTTTTGCTTAATCATCGGTCTACGCTTCGGACACGATGATGTAGATCGGTACACTAGACATATTACCCGCCTATCATGGTTTTCCCGGGTTTTTCCTGAGCAGTCAACGGAGAAGTCGAATTTACACGTGGAAGACTTGACGAGATTATTGAATAAGAAAGATGGTTTACTCGGATGGATGACGTCGATGTTGTCCGAGTATGCCTTCTAATACTTTTGCAAGCCGGCTTTTAGGCAGAGAGGCCCGACAACCTATTCCTAATGATCTAATTAAATTGGTAGAGGACATAAATGCATGGAACCTATTTCTGTGGGGTTCGTATCTATGGAGAGCTACATGGAATAAATTGTCGTCTGCCTTTAATGATCAGAAAAGTTTGCGTGGCGATGGTTCCAAATACACTTTGTCAGGCTTTATTTGGGCCTTCAAGGTAATAATTTTTATATAATGTTTCCAAAATTATAATTAATTCTTTAACAATTACTAATGTTTGTTATTATATTGTTTTTAGATTTGGATATTTGAGGCCTTTCCCGCCATGCGGACATATACATTAAAAACTTCTAATGATATTCCTAGGCTATTTCCTGGAAGAGGAAATGGTCCTTGCAGCAATGGGAAGATTTACTACCGTATACTACAATAAATAATGTAAGTTAACACAAATACTACCATATGTTTATAAACAAGTTATTACTAGTACACGTTTAACTTTGTCTGAGCTTTTATATTGTTAGGAGGCCAACACTCCATTACAGAGGCTGACACCCATGGAAGCTGAGCTTGCCACTGATTGGTGGCAAGCTAGTAAGCTTTTTTTTTATGGCACGGATGATGAGCAGCCACCACTTCGAGAGCCATCACCTCACCCAGAGCCATCACCTGATCGACCCGAATATACACCTCCACAACAAGAGTCATCACCTATTCTGTCACATCATCGAGCCTCTTCTACACCATCACCTCATGATAGGCGATCGGCAAAGATGTCAGGACGTTTATCTCCCTATTCTCCACCTTCACCTCCACGGGATGAGTTAGGGGAGTTACGTAATGAGGTCAATGCCTTGCGTGAGGAGGTCGGTACTTTACGCGATGACAATGGTGCATGGCGTGTTGAGGTGTCTACTTTACGTGGTGAGGTAACAGCTCTACGTGAGATTGTAGCATCGTTGCAGAACGAGGTTCATACTCTACACAACGAGGTAAGTTTAATATTTTTCATATTTAACTTGATGATAAATTTACTCGTAATTTCACTTAGATTGCTTAGTAAATTCATTCGGTTGCTGCCAATACTGTTTAACTGTTTATTCTTTAATCCTGTGAAGTTAGTATTTGTTTTTGTTGTCTTTTGGTTGAAGTAATGCAATCCATTCAAGTTTCAATTTGCAGAAGTAGAATAGTTTACTATCGCAATGCGAAAATGACTATCGCAACGAGAGAATCGCAATGCGAAAAGGACTATCGCAATGCGAATTTGACTATCGCAATGCGAATTTGACTATCGCAATGCGAATTTGACTATCGCAATGAGAGAATCCCAATGCGAAATGAAAATCGCATTGCGATTCTCTCGTTGCGATAGTCAAATTCGCATTGCGATAGTCATTTTCGCATTGCGATAGTCATTTTCACATTGCGATAGTCATTTTCGCATTGCGATTTTAAGTTTCAGATTCTATTCTTCTTCTGCAAATTGAAACTTGAATGAATTGCATTACTTCAACCAAAAGACAAATACTAACTTCACAGTGTTGAAATTAAGTTTCAAGAATAAACTACTACTCTTTATTGTCATTGAACCTGCACTAAACCTATATGTTGTCCTTTTAAATGTTTATATAAGTGCTTACTTCTGGAATGTTATCTGATGCATTTTGTGAACAATGATATAATAATGACTTGGGTGAATACCGTGCAAGTTTGAAATATATTTGTCTTTATTCTCACTGTTTAATATCATGTCTGTTTATTTACTGATTTATGTATTAATTTATTTTTAGCGGCCCGCTAAGGTGGATGCTCTACGTCAGGTTTTTCTTGCAAGACGGAGTTCACGCATCAGACGGCGTGCACGTGCCATTACGTCTCTATTCACCCCAATAGTGCGATGAATCCGTAAGAAAAAGCCCGACTCACCTGTTATCGTTCAAGAGGCCTCCCCTATCGTTCAAGAGGCCCCTATCATCCCTCAAGAGTCCCCTCCCACCGTTCAAGAGGCCACTGTCATCGTTGAAGAGGTCCCTCCCAACATTCTAGAGCCCGATTCACACGGTGTAATATATCGAATTATTGAGAAGCCCCCTCACGTGCCGGACATGATGGATGACTGTTGGCTTTCGTATAAGTTACCGGCCAGTACCATTCCGACAGATGAAGTGGAGAGGAAACAACTACCGGAAACAATTCTGGATAATACCCTTTGGGCTAAGACCGTAGTTGATTTTTATCTACATGAGCGGAGCCAAGGGTGTTACACTGACATATACAAACTCAACGATGATATGCATTTGTTGATTGAACGGTCTTGGTGGGGTGTATTATTAGGGGTTGAAGACAACAACTATTTCGATGGGGGGTAAGTCTTATATTTCTTATATTTCAGTTTGATTAATTTTTTTAAAATTTATGTAATTCACTAATATATGTCTTTTTTTGTAAAACAGCATATTGATGCATGGGTGACACATCTTCTAATTGTAAGGAAATTGAAGAAAAATATTAAAAAAATGTGATATGCAATTATGCCGACGTCTTTTCACGTAGTTCACTTGAAGAATCAACGACAGGAATCATATGTTGGCTAATGGACAAGCTAAA